TTGAGTCATGATACAATTATTTTTGAGGATTTTGGGAATTGAGTCAACAGCAAAATAATTTATGCCACATGTATATTTGGGATCAACAGATTCTCTTACATGCAAATAACTGACAAAAACTAATTAATAGAAATGATATTATAGGACAGATATCAAGCATGAGACTGCAGAAAGCTCAAGAAAATAAATTATTTTAAACTTAGATTATTAGTGTAAGAGAGGCAGAGAAATTAGATAGATTCAACATATGTCATTCTTGCCCAATTGGAGTTTAATTGGGACTTGAGAAATTTTGGGGATTTTTTAACATGTATATAAAGAGAGAAGAGACAAAGCAACAATAAAAACCATTCTTTTTACCATAAAACTTAGATTACTATCTAATACTTTCACTTATTTTGTGTCACATCTTCATGCCTCTTCTTATATTACACAATTGGCGATCATGATATAGTGACAGATTCGCCATTACAAATCCTCAATACTAGTTATTTTTAAAATAAAAATTATAATAAATTAATTATCAATTAAAATCAAATTTTATACAAGCTATTTTTAATTACACAATAATAATATTTGCTTTCAGTTTAAACATATCAAAAAATTTTAATTACATATGTTCATGTTATTATAACCTAAATATTATTTTTAAAAAAGGATTAAAATTAGTTATTTAATTATCAACAATATTCTAATAAAAATTTTTTTTAATTAACAGTGGTAATTAATTAAATATAAAAAGTATTAATTATTTAATAAAATAATTCTTAATATAATAGTAACAAAATTTATGTATTTTGTAATATTCTATAAAAATAAAATAAAGAATCTTCAATTATTTATTTACATTAATAATATTACGAATAAAAAAAAAATCAAGTATATTATTTTTCAAAATATTTTTAACACCTTACAAGTTTTTGATAAAAAATCTTTGTTTCAACTGTAGTATTATTATTTTAAATAGATATCGACTATTTAACATCTTTAGCATGTAAAATATATACTTGATTTCAGCATAAATGTTGCAATATATTATATCTAACAAATGTCTTGCATTTAATGACTGCTTGCAAAATAATGATAATAATAATAAATAAATAAAATAAACCAATAATATTAATATTATTGATTTATTTATCTCATCTAATTTGTAATATTTATTTAGTTTATAGTTTTACAGAATTAAAAATCACATGAAATATACTATAGGTGGTATTGCACTGGTACGTACAGTACAACGCATGAATACTGTAAATAAAAAGACATGATTGACGTCTAAAGTATAAGGTTACATACTGTAATACCACATACAGTATTACGAATCGCTTATTAAGATCCTTTATATCCTCCAAGATCTTAAGGAAATGGCTCAGAAGTTTAATAATGCATATCAATCTCAAGATTGTTTTTGACCAACTCAATTGAGCAAATTCTCGATCCTCATAACATTGCTCAAAGTCTTGGACTTATTTACAAGGGATTCTTTAATTGACATATCTATGAGTGCGAATCCAGCCATTTTCTTTTGCTTTTCTAATAAAAAAAAACAACAATTTATGAATAATTTGCAATATCATAAAAATTGTACGCGATCATTTCGATCATTTACCTTTTTCCGTATGGTATTTATTTTTTACTTGATTCGGCGTGCATCTAACTTTAGAAATAGGAAGATGTTTATTAATTTCCTCGGATAGGAATTTCCACGGCCATCTTCCGAGTTCATTTAATTTGGCACTTAAAATCAACTCAACATGTTCACCAGTGAACGGATATGATCTCCTTTTTCCCTCGGAATCACTTATATAGACTGCAAATGGACATGCCGTCCGTTGATCAAAAATTGTAAAATTACTTGATTGTTAAAGTAAAATGTACGTTCTCACATTACCATCTGCTCTCAAGTGTTTATTATACCTGGAAAATCAAAGTAAGTCAGAAAAATACTGTAGATCGTGTGGTACAGTGGCAATAAAGATTAGGTAAATAACACATACTTTTCTTGTAGCGATTTGATATTCCTGTTTAATCTGAACTTAATATTAAATTCACTTTGAATGGTTTTCCAATCGATTTTGCGATATTCGATGTTTGCACATTTAATCTCTTTTTTTACTATTTCTGATAGTCCGGATTCCTCCTACAAATCATATTTAAAAAAAAGTAAATTGATTCCTTTTTTTATTATTATTATTCGTAGCTGGTTTGGATATAGGGTTGTTATCTTCTGGTTTTGAATTGTTATGTGGTCTGTTGTAAAATTCTTCCTGTTTAGA